TCAATCATCTCCAACTCCAATTCGCCTCTTCGCTAGTTCGCTTCGTCTTCCTCTTCGCATAATTTCAGGTTAGTAGATGCATCTTTCGGCTTTTTTTGTTTATTTATTTATTTAATTGTTGATATTACTTGTTAGTTATGAATTAGTAATACTAAATTTGAACCCTAAATCCCTAATTGTTCAATAATCAACTCAATTTCAGAGAATTTTGCATTATTTGAAATTCTGAATTGTGAATTTGTGAAATGTTTGACACTTTGACAGTGCTCTTCGCGACTTCGCTAGCTTGCTCACGCCTCCAGTGCTGGCTGTGCTGCTGGCCTGCTGGCTGCTGCTCGCCTGCTGCCCTGCTCCACTACTCTGTGCTCTGTCCTCTGTGCTCACCGTTCTTCGCTTCGTCGCTTCTTCTAAAGTCTAATCTCCTATTCTCATTTTGCTAGTAAGTTGATTTCTAATTTTTAGTTTAAAATTCTAATATTCAATTTAATTCAGTCTAATTAGTTTATTATATTAAACTTTGGTTGATTTTGTTGTTGTTTGTTTGGTAAACTTTGAACCTTTTGTTAATGTTGTTGGGTTTTTGTCTTTTTGATGAAATTTGAACCTTTTTGACCATGTGATTATGTGAATTGTGGTTTGTTTGGTAAAATGATCTTTGTAAATAATTTTTATGGGGAATTTTGCTTGATTTAGTTGATTATTTATTCAAATTTCATAATGAAGAGAAAACGCACTCCAAATGAAATGCAAAACATTACTAGCTTCTTTGCTAAAAAGAATCCTACTTCAACTTCTCTTCCACATCCAACACAAAATGAACAAACTATATCTCCACCTCAACAAAGTGAACAAACTATATCTCCACCTCAAGAAAGTGAACAACATTCATCTCCATCTAATTATTCAACTCAAAATTCCCCTCAAAATGAACAAGGCCAATGTTCTCCTAATGCCCCAATCTTTGGTGAAAGATTAAGTGAACATGAATTTGCTAATCTTCCCCAAGATCCAGGAAAGAGGAGAAAGATGAGTCAATTTCATAAAGATGATAGAGATTTACTGAGAAGAATTTACATTCAAAGAAAGCCTTGTCAGCCCAAAGACTTTATATTTCCTCAAACTTCTATTTTACGCAAAAACCATCGCTTTTGTGCTAAGTGGTTTGATACTTGGACTTGGCTTGAGTATAGTGTGGAAAAGGATGCTGCCTATTGTTTCCCTTGTTATCTATTCAAGGATGAAAATGCATTTGGAGGTGATGCTTTTGTTAGTGATGGTTTCAAATCATGGAATCGATCGGATTTAATAAGAAAACATGTGGGTAAGCACATGAGTGCACATAATAATGCAGTGTTAGCTATGGATTTGTTCAAGAAGAAAAAGTCAAGCATCACACAAGCCTTGACAAAACAAACCGTTGAGAGTACAAATGCATATAGGAAGCGACTTGAAGCTTCAATTGAATCAATCCAATGGCTTTTACTCCAAGGGTTGCCTTTCCGTGGTCATGATGAAAAAGAAATTTTTTTCCTTAAGAAGAGGTAACTTTCTTTCACTTTTATCCCTTATTTCCAAAGGTAACCCTGAATATTCTAAAGTTGTTTTCAAAAATGCTCCTAGTAATTGTCAACTTACTTCTCCAAAAGTCCAAAAAGATATCATAAATGCATGTGCAAAAGAGACAACTAAAGCAATGCTTGATGATATTGATGGTGGTTTGTTTTCTATCCTTGCTGATGAGTCCACTGATGTTTCTGACAAGGAACAATTGGCTCTTTGTTTGAGATATGTTAATATAAAGGGAGAAGTGTGTGAGTGTTTACTTGGTATTGTGCATGTTGTAAACACTGCTTCTTTGACTCTCAAATTTGCTATTGAATCCTTATTAATGGATCATTCTTTGTCTTTCTCCCAAGTACGGGGTCAAGGTTATGATGGGGCAAGTAATATGCAAGGTTCTATTAATGGCCTTAGGACTCTTATAGAGAATGAGTGTAAAGAAGCTTATTTTGTCCACTGCTTTGCTCACCAACTTCAATTGACTCAAGTTGCACTTGCTAAAAAGAATTCAGATTGTGCTTGGTTATTTGTTGATGTACTTGCACCTCTGTTGAACTTTGTGGGGGGTTCACCAAAAAGGAAAGAGTTTCTTCGTGAAAATCAAGCTCAAAGAGTGGTGGATGCTTTGTCTCTAGGTGAACTTGAAACGGTTTCAGGTTTAAATCAAGAACGTGGATTAGGTAGACCTTGTGATACTCGTTGGGGATCTCACTTCAAGACAATCTTGAATGTACTTGATTTATTCCCTGTAATCCTTGGTTCTGTTGAGGATATTGCAAAAGTATCTGATACAATAGATTCTAATAGAGCTCAAACACTTACAAATCTTCTGATGTCCTTTGATTTTGTGTTTGTGGCACACTTGATGGTTAGTATATTTGCGATAACAAATGCTTTGAATGTGGCCTTACAAAAGCACGATCAAGACATTGTGAATGCAATGGCCATGGTTAATGTAACCAAGACTAATTTGCAAAAAATGAGAGATGAAGGATGGGATTCTCATATGGAACAGGTCATTTCTTTTATTGGTGACTATGACATTGCAGTTCCAGATATGGAGGCTAAATATGTTGTTCCCGGGAGGAGGTTGTTTCGAGGTAAATGCCCACAAGTGTCTAATTTACATCATTTTTGAGTTGAAGTTTTTTTTGGTGTCATTGATCTTCAATTGCAAGAACTTGAAAATCGATTTCCCGAAATAACTAAAGAACTACTTGTGTGTATGTCTTGTTTGAGTCTTGTGGATCGTTTTTCTAAGTTTGACAAGGAAAAATTGATTAAGCTTGCGAAATTCTATCCTAATGAATTTCCAAGTTCAGAATTGATAGTCTTTGGTCATACACTTGAGACTTACATTTGTTCTGTTAGAGGAGATGAAAGGTTTTGGAATTTGAAGGGTCTTAGTGAGCTTTCAATCAAATTGGTTGAAACGGGATTGTCTGAAACTCATGATAGGGTCTATTTACTTTTAAAGTTGGTGTTGCTTCTTCCTGTCGCAACGACAAGTGTGGAAAGGGCAGTGGCGGACTTGGGCTTAGACCTGGAGGGTCAAGTGACTCACCAGGCCCAAAAACAATTTAAGTTATTTTTTTTTTAAAAAAAAAAAAAAAAAAAAAAAAAAAAAAAAAAAAAAAAAAAACTAAAATCAGTTTTCCCCAAATGACCAAATCACGAATTGATTTCAAGCCCTAGCCTTCTTCAGTTCTTCTCTTCGCCAATTCGCCTCTTCCTTTTAATCCTTCATCAATCATCTCCAACTCCAATTCGCCTCTTCGCTAGTTCGCTTCGTCTTCCTCTTCGCATAATTTCATGTTAGTAGATGCATCTTTCGGCTTTTTTTTGTTTATTTATTTATTTAATTGTTGATATTACTTGTTAGTTATGAATTAGTAATACTAAATTTGAACCCTAAATCCCTAATTGTTCAATAATCAACTCAATTTCAGAGAATTTTGCATTATTTGAAATTCTGAATTGTGAATTTGTGAAATGTTTGACACTTTGACAGTGCTCTTCGCGACTTCGCTAGCTTGCTCACGCCTCCAGTGCTGGCTGTGCTGCTGGCCTGCTGGCTGCTGCTCGCCTGCTGCCCTGCTCCACTACTCTGTGCTCTGTCCTCTGTGCTCACCGTTCTTCGCTTCGTCGCTTCTTCTAAAGTCTAATCTCCTATTCTCATTTTGCTAGTAAGTTGATTTCTAATTTTTAGTTTAAAATTCTAATCTTCAATTTAATTCAGTCTAATTAGTTTATTATATTAAACTTTGGTTGATTTTGTTGTTGTTTGTTTGGTAAACTTTGAACCTTTTGTTAATGTTGTTGGGTTTTTGTCTTTTTGATGAAATTTGAACCTTTTTGACCATGTGATTATGTGAATTGTGGTTTGTTTGGTAAAATGATCTTTGTAAATAATTTTTATGGGGAATTTTGCTTGATTTAGTTGATTATTTATTCAAATTTCATAATGAAGAGAAAACGCACTCCAAATGAAATGCAAAACATTACTAGCTTCTTTGCTAAAAAGAATCCTACTTCAACTTCTCTTCCACATCCAACACAAAATGAACAAACTATATCTCCACCTCAACAAAGTGAACAAACTATATCTCCACCTCAAGAAAGTGAACAACATTCATCTCCATCTAATTATTCAACTCAAAATTCCCCTCAAAATGAACAAGGCCAATGTTCTCCTAATGCCCCAATCTTTGGTGAAAGATTAAGTGAACATGAATTTGCTAATCTTCCCCAAGATCCAGGAAAGAGGAGAAAGATGAGTCAATTTCATAAAGATGATAGAGATTTACTGAGAAGAATTTACATTCAAAGAAAGCCTTGTCAGCCCAAAGACTTTATATTTCCTCAAACTTCTATTTTACGCAAAAACCATCGCTTTTGTGCTAAGTGGTTTGATACTTGGACTTGGCGTGAGTATAGTGTGGAAAAGGATGCTGCCTATTGTTTCCCTTGTTATCTATTCAAGGATGAAAATGCATTTGGAGGTGATGCTTTTGTTAGTGATGGTTTCAAATCATGGAATCGATCGGATTTAATAAGAAAACATGTGGGTAAGCACATGAGTTCACATAATAATGCAGTGTTAGCTATGGATTTGTTCAAGAAGAAAAAGTCAAGCATCACACAAGCCTTGACAAAACAAACCGCTGAGAGTACAAATGCATATAGGAAGCGACTTGAAGCTTCAATTGAATCAATCCAATGGCTTTTACTCCAAGGGTTGCCTTTCCGTGGTCATGATGAAAAAGAAATTTTTTTCCTTAAGAAGAGTTAACTTTCTTTCACTTTTATCCCTTATTTCCAAAGGTAACCCTGAATATTCTAAAGTTGTTTTCAAAAATGCTCCTAGTAATTGTCAACTTACTTCTCCAAAAGTCCAAAAAGATATCATAAATGCATGTGCAAAAGAGACAACTAAAGCAATGCTTGAAGATATTGATGGTGGTTTGTTTTCTATCCTTGCTGATGAGTCCGCTGATGTTTCTGACAAGGAACAATTGGCTCTTTGTTTGAGATATGTTAATATAAAGGGAGAAGTGTGTGAGTGTTTACTTGGTATTGTGCATGTTGTAAACACTGCTTCTTTGACTCTCAAATTTGCTACTGAATCCTTATTAATGGAGCATTCTTTGTCTTTCTCTCAAGTACGGGGTCAAGGTTATGATGGGGCAAGTAATATGCAAGGTTCTATTAATGGCCTTAGGACTCTTATAGAGAATGAGTGTAAAGAAGCTTATTTTGTCCACTGCTTTGCTCACTAACTTCAATTGACTCAAGTTGCACTTGCTAAAAAGAATTCAGATTGTGCTTGGTTATTTGTTGATGTACTTGCACCTCTGTTGAACTTTGTGGGGGGTTCACCAAAAAGGAAAGAGTTTCTTCGTGAAAATCAAGCTCAAAGAGTGGTGGATGCTTTGTCTCTAGGTGAACTTGAAACGGTTTCAGGTTTAAATCAAGAACGTGGATTAGGTAGACCTTGTGATACTCGTTGGGGATCTCACTTCAAGACAATCTTGAATGTACTTGATTTATTCCCTGTAATCCTTGGTTCTGTTGAGGATATTGCAAAAGTATCTGATACAATAGATTCTAATAGAGCTCAAACACTTACAAATCTTCTGATGTCCTTTGATTTTGTGTTTGTGGCACACTTGATGGTTAGTATATTTGCGATAACAAATGCTTTGAATGTGGCCTTACAAAAGCACGATCAAGACATTGTGAATGCAATGGCCATGGTTAATGTAACCAAGACTAATTTGCAAAAAATGAGAGATGAAGGATGGGATTCTCATATGGAACAGGTCATTTCTTTTATTGGTGACTATGACATTGCAGTTCCAGATATGGAGGCTAAATATGTTGTTCCCGGGAGGAGGTTGTTTCGAGGTAAATGCCCACAAGTGTCTAATTTACATCATTTTTGAGTTGAAGTTTTTTTTGGTGTCATTGATCTTCAATTGCAAGAACTTGAAAATCGATTTCCCGAAATAACTAAAGAACTACTTGTGTGTATGTCTTGTTTGAGTCTTGTGGATCGTTTTTCTAAGTTTGACAAGGAAAAATTGATTAAGCTTGCGAAATTCTATCCTAATGAATTTCCAAGTTCAGAATTGATAGTCTTTGGTCATACACTTGAGACTTACATTTGTTCTGTTAGAGGAGATGAAAGGTTTTGGAATTTGAAGGGTCTTAGTGAGCTTTCAATCAAATTGGTTGAAACGGGATTGTCTGAAACTCATGATAGGGTCTATTTACTTTTGAAGTTGGTGTTGCTTCTTCCTGTCGCAACGACAAGTGTGGAAAGGGTATTTTCTTGCATGAAGCAAGTGAAAGACAAACTACGAAATAGCATGGGAGATCAAATGTTGAATGATTGTTTAATTACTTATTTGGAGAATGATTTGTTTTTGAATGTTAGCATGGAAGATATCATGAATTGATATCATAACATGAAAAATCGTCGAGAACTATTGTAATAAGTTTGCATTACTATTTAGTTGTCTTTTGTAGTATTATATGAACATTTGGTTGTATTTTGTACTGTTTGAATATTTGGATGTATTTCTTAGTACTATTATTTGGTTGTTCGATAAATTTTTTTTTTTTTACATACGTGATTATCGATTGTGACCCACCATTCGGAAATTCCTGGATCCGCCACTGCATATCACCATACTTATTTATCATGTGTTGAAGTCTTCTCAAGTATGATACAACTTGAAGTTGCCAGGAAGTCACTCTATGGAGTAAGAATTTGCAGGAATGCCCCTATGGTTTCTCATCTTCTATTCGCCGACAATAGCATTATTTTTTGTAAAGTTGACAATAGAGATTCTCACGTTGTAAAGCAGATTCTTGCTTGATATGAAGAGGCCTCGGGTCAAATGATAAATTTTGGGAAGTCTGATGTTTCTTTTAGTTCGAATATGGGTCAGGGCAAGAAGGAGGAGATGGTGGCTATTTTGGGCGTTCATTGTGTGGAGCAGCAAGGCAAGTACCTGTAGGCAGCCTGAAAATCAATGTTGACGCTGCAATTTTTGGCGAGCTAGGATCGGGGCTGGGCGTGATTATATTATTCGTGACCATGAAGGCAATTGTTTTGGGGCTACAAATTGCTATTCAATGCGATGTTGAGAATGTCATCATTGAGAGCGATTGTCTCCATGTAATTAACAAGCTCAAGTCAAGAGAAGTGGATGGCTCATACTTGGTAGGAAAATTCTTCGTAAATATGGATTACGCACTTCTTCGTTCCATTGTACCAAAGGATATTTTTACAATGGTAGTTTGTATTATGAATACCATATGATATTAATGATAAACAATATTATCGGTTTATTTTTTCACATTATAAAATGGACAGAGTTATTCTAATAATACCTACTATGCAAATATATATTGTTTTTGAAAATTTTAATCCAACATAAAATAAATATTTTTGGAGAAACTATAATACACAAATTTATATATGTGGCAAGCCACACCGTGTGGCCAGGGTTACTTATTCAATGGTAAACCATGACCAAGTAACCCCTAACCGACCTAATATCCCCTGTTCAACCAAGTAACCCTTGACCGAACGAGTAACCCCTAATCAAGTAACCCCTAACCGACCGAGTAACCCCTGAATAAGTTACCGGCCATGAAACCCCTTACTAATAAGTAACCCCTGAATACGTAACCATAGTCACACGGTGTGACCAACCACACATAACACGCTGAAAAAATAAAACTTTCACCGTATTATTATTATTATTATTATTATTATTATTATTATTATTATTATTATTATTATTATTATTATTATTATTATTATTATTATTATTATGATTATTATTATTATTATTATTATTATTATTATTGCACCGTATAAGTTGGACACATTAATTTTGGTAGTGGAAAAAAGAAAGAGAGAAAGGTAAAAATACAAAATTGTCCATGTAATGTAAATATAAACTAAAGAATAAATGTGAAAAAGTAAAGGTATGTTGGATATTTGCAGTGTAAACAGAGATGTTTCTTTGTCCTAAATGAAAATGGTGCAATATTTGTGAAACTTTTATAAAAGACAGGTAATGAAACTAAAAATTTGTTAAATAAAAAAATAGCAACTTTTCTGTGTGGCTGGCCACACCGTGCGACAGAGATTACTTGTAGGAGTTACTTATTCAGGAGTTACTTGTATGGGTTACTTATTTAGGAGTTACTAGTATGAGTTACTTATTCAGGGGTTACTTGTAGGGATTACTTACTCAGTCGGTTAGTGCGTTTTCTGTGTGAGAGTAACCCTTAACCGACCGAGTAACCTTTGAATAAGTAATCCCTATAATTTACCCCTATCCAAATGAGTAACCCCTGACCAAATGAGTAACTCCTAAATAAGTAACTCTAGAATAAGTAACCCATGACCAAACGAGTAACCCCCTACAAGTAACCCCTGACCAAACATGTAACCCTGACCAAATAAGTAACCCCTGACTAAACGAGTAACCTCCTACAAGTAACGCCAACCACATAAAAAATTGTGATAAAAAAAATGTTGATAATACTATTATATACCAATATTTATTCAGAGAAAAATATGTCAATTATGGACTACGTGATCATTAAAATATTGTGTAGTTATATTTAAACGACCATTATAAAATTTTTATGTAGAGAAGGAAAATAAGTAATGCGGGTGGATAGACTATTGACTTTTGACAATAGACAATTATTGACAAATCCATTGATGTTATATATATACAGCAATTCATGAGATTTCGGAAAGAGTTGGTTTGAGTTTTAATACAGTCGAGAGCAGTGTTGCTGCAATAGCGTTGTCAAAACTTTCCCTTACTTTCCTAGCGCCTCTCAAGGTACGTATGCAACGCGTTACATCTTTTGTCGTGGCTTGTGTTTGGCTCAATGAAGATTTATCGATAATTACTTATTGAGGTATGTATGTGCTTATATCGCGTTATCCAGAGTGGAGACAAGTTTGTGCTCAAGGTGAAGGTGTCGAACTACTCGGCTGTTCGCCTATTCTTTGATCATTTTATCTACAAGCTGCCAAATAATGAGGTTTAAATTTCTTGCCCCTTAAGAATAAATGCATCCTTTTTATTTTTCTTGTAAGGTATATATGGACATGTTACAAATTAAATAACTTACTAATAGAGTATATAACATATTTCTGAGCCTCAAAGGCCCTCAACCACAAACTTTTTTACTCGTAGTTGTTATTTACTTAACTAACCACTTCCATATAATTTTTTTGAGTAACAGCCAGTCCTTGAGAGCCCTTTCCCTAAATAATGTTGCCTAAAGCCTCAATTCCCAAATTACAACCATTTTTTCATAAATTCCCTATATACTATTCACGTAAGCAAGTGGGAAAAAAAACCGATTTTTTTTTTCGGTTTAGTGAGAAACCGCTACTTGAAGTGGCGGTTTTCAAAAACTAAGAGTAGCGGTTTTTAGAATAGGAAACCGCTACTTGGTTTCTGCTGTAATTTTTTTTCTTTAAAAAAAGCTATAGAGCTAGCAATATGATTCTATCAGCAAACAAATAATCAAAAAAACAAAAACAAATTTCACATAACTATACTACTTCAAGATTGATAATACTTATGGAGTAGAAGAAAACAAAGGGCCATTTAAGATTGATAAATACTCCAATAAAACCAAACAAAACTTACAAAAAAAAAATTAAAACTTAATTTGTTAGATCTAGATTACATAATTACAGAAGTTGAAAATTAACAAGTGAATTGAAAAAATAACAACGAAATTAGGGCTTAAATTAACAATTCAATTGAATTGAAATTAGGTAAAAAATAGTAACCCTCCATCCCTAATTTACTACATAAACAGTGAAGTATTGATGATGGTAGCAGTTCTCCGGTGTCAAGCGTGACTCCGAGCGGCAGCAGAACCAGGTGAGTGGGGACTTGAACGTTTTCTTCATGTGTGTTTGAGCAATATGAGAATTGAGAACAAGAAGATTTTTTTTTTTTTTGGGTTTTTCTGGAAGCCGTTCATAGAGGTGAGAGAGAATAAAAGAGTATGAAAGTTTTTTATTTTTTTTATTTTGTAAATACCTAAGGCCTCCACTTCAAGTAGCGGTTTTCATTGAAACCGTAAAAAAAAATAAAAAATAGGTTGAACCGGTGACATGGACAGTAAAGTGGGAATTTATAAAAAAGTGACAGCATTTGTAGAATTAGATCTTTTGGTAGCATTATTTAGGGAAAGGGCTCATTCCTTGATGCAAAATCAATTGGTGTACTTCTTGACAAAAATTACCGTCCGATTCGTATGCCAACAGAGATAGAATCCAAGCTAAGGCAGTTTATTATGTCTTTATGATGCATCAAGGAGGTTCGACGACACTTATTTATCATACTATGTCTACTGCTGGCGAGCCATTGAATTGGTTGATTACCATTCCAAATCTCTGTGAAGAAGCAGCATGATCACTCGTCTAGTTGTCTAAGGCTTGATCATGAGCAATATTTATCACGTATGTTAGACAATTTGTGTGTTCCGCAATTTGATTTGTTATCGTCATTAACAGAATTGTTACTATTAATTAGAAATTTGTGTAAATAAAAAAGTGTTGTATGTAATTTATATGAAACGGAAGAAGTATAAATATTTTAATATGTTATGTAAGCCAATGATGACTATATATAATATATACACAACTTAGTTTGTTTCCTATCACATCACAACTCTAATAAAATATTAGTATTAGTTACTCTATGATTGTGGGATTGGGGTCTACCATGCATCTAGTGGTGCCGGAAAAAGGGTAGTTGAAGTAGTTGGTTGATCATTATGGGGATGGATAAGGGTTAGCTAAGAGCTTGAACGTAGAAGTGGTGGTCGTGGTGGTGGGTGGTGGACGTGTCTTGGTGGCCTTGAATGGTTGAAGTATGGAGTTTGTTCTCGACAAACTTAATGTTACAAGTTTACATACATGTAAGCTATGAAGCTCAAAAAAAAAAAAAAATAAATAAATAAATAAAATAATAATAATAATAAAAAATAAAAAAAATAATAAATAAAAAGCTATGAAGCTCAATAAATCTATAGATGGACGGTGCACCTATTAATTTGTTACAAGATGACGACTTTAAAAAACATAAAATGCACGCACCTTAATATCCTAAAGAATAAAAAATATTGGTTTTGTGCCTATGATAAAATTTTAAAATACGCTCAAATAATTCATTCTGATCCCGTCAAAAAAAAAAATAAGTAAATTCGTTATGATAATGTAGGATATTTAGACATACATATATTAGTATTATAATACTGTTTATAGTTTTGTTTGTAAATAGATATATGTTATTATTTAAAATATTTTTATTGAACTTAAATTATTTTTATTGAAGTGAAAGTATTTTTACCAAACTAAAATTAATTTTACTGATTAAAACTTATTTTTATAGATTTTCTAATATTTTTTTAAATAAATTAAATAACAATGCATTTTGTATGCGGCTAGCCACACCATCTAGACGGACAAAATAACCCCTATAAAACTGACCGAGTAACCCCTATAATACTAACTGAGTAACCTCTAAAACTGACTAACTAACCCCTATCTATAACACTGATTTAGTAATCACTATAACATTGACCAAGTAACCTCTGTAGCACTAACGAAGTAACTCTTGTAATAATTGGTGACACGGTTGGCCAGCTATGTATTAAAATATATTATAAATGGGTCTTATTTTAAATAACTTTTTAAAATGAATTTGATGATGGAAATAGAATTGAGTTCTAGGATATTTATTAAAAGTTATGATTAAATTTGTATATATGAAATATTAGAAGTTTATCGATAATAAAACTCTATGTAACAATTTTATCTTATTAAATCTATCCAAAAATCACTTATTTTAGCAGCATATGTGTCACAACAATACCTATTTATCTGCGCGACACTTGGCGAAAAACTGGAACGCCAAGTGTCGCTATCTCATGGCCTGACTGTGAGACCGGCTTTATTTATTAATGATATATATTAAATTTGTAATTTAATCTACTAAACATATGGAGAAATTGGGAGCGCGCGAAAGAACAACAATACATGTATAAAAAATTCATATTTCAAGCTTACACTTAATTGAATGAATAAAAAAGTAAAATTAATATTTTCAACATTTAACAGTATAAGTTATCTAACAAGTATTTAGCTCTACACTTTATTTTATACTTCGTACATAAAATAAATTTAAGAAAGAAACCTTTGTTTTTTTCGGTATATCTAGTATTTGTACGCAAATAAAAGAAATTTGAATCTCATCATATATA